TGATTCACGAGGTGAAATTCATTGCAAAACTACTAGGAACCCAAGGAGTAGTCGACAGCTTTTTCATCCTAGTCAAGGGACTTTTCATCAGTACGCAGCTGTTGAGATTCGTACGTAGAATTCTAGTGAGGAGTTGTAGTTATCACAGTCCACTGTGTCAGGCAAGAAGACAATTACTCGCCTTTGATATCGGCTAGCGGTAGTGCTGTATAAATATCGCGGATTAGCACATGTTGGAATTCATGAGATAGTCATTGGGTCAGGGCCCCAGTAGATGAATGGCCTACAAGCCCACCTTACCATCAAATGGTCGTGAGTTCGAACCGTATTAGGTGCATACTACCGATGAGTCCCAGACTAGGGGTACGAAACAGTTGTTTGATACTCCCTGCTAGGTTTTCCAATGCTTCTCTAACTGATATCGACTCACCATCAGTCTGATGTCTTAGTTCATCTTACTTTAGTAATTTCCAGTGCGTCGGTGGTTCAGCGAAAGAACGCCCGTCAACCATACATTTGCCCCGGCGGTTCGATCCCCGGTCGATGCAGTCTTAAACTTTATCAAGCCTGTAGTAAGGTCGACAAAGAGTAAAGGTTGGCTGTGAGGCTAGCAAGCTCACTACTGCTACCGAAACTTCAAAGCTTTAGCTTCAAGTTCTATGTTCCACTGGGGACGTAAAGGAATAACATTTTTTTAAAATAATAATCATAATTACAGTACTCATAGCCTTCTCAAGACAAATAGTCCGGATATCAGTGAACAAATTGTGGTGAAAGCTGTCTGCTGGCCAAAATTGGTAGACAGCAATTCACGTCAGTGTTTTTACGTCCCAAATCTTGGTCACGAGGAAGAAACAAGAACAAACCCTAACCTTGAGGGGCTCAACAACCAATCACAATAGACTTAGCGTGGATGGATATGATTCGCAGATATATATGATCTGACCTTCAAAGAAACGGCCACAAAGACATGACAGAATAACCTACAGTGAGAAAACAACCAATCAGAAGACGTTGATTCTCTGCTAACAATAACGATGATAATAATAATGTACATAAAAATCTCTGAATATCTGTTGATTTCCTCAATAAAATATCTGTTCTCTAGCCCTTGTCTTCTGTCCTTACAAAATAATCATCACAAGATAACTTCTCTTCTCCAGTATAAATATATATATAATATATATATATATATATATATATATATATATATATAATTGCATGATAACAAAGGTCTTGGCTTGTATATTGATTTATCTTGCCTCACTTTCCACCCCTATTTCTACTTTAAAAAACACGAAAAATATTAGGCGTCAGCCACACACAGTGTAGATTTGTTAATCTCTTTCTATGCTTAACTCAAGTCACGTGATGATAATAAATGCTATATATATATATATTAATGCTCATATTGCTGCCACCAAGTAAACAAATACTTGAATATGTATATGGATAATTTATTCAAACAAATTAATCAAAAAATTTTGTCCATATATTTAGATATTTTCGAGGCTCGTATACTCAACACTCATTTAAATATTTTGTTAAAAAGAAAAAATTATTTTATTTTAAAAATTATCAGTATTTAGCGAAAGTTTTGTTCAGAAATCACATGATCAATCATGTGATCGGATTAAGATCAACACAGAATAGAAATTTAGGGAAAGACTTTTTTGCTGGTAAAGTGGTAGCATTCAAACAAAGGTAGAGAGAGAGAGAGAGAGAAACAAAGACACGAAAGGATATACGAGTGACTTTATTGCCTATCTCTGTCACAATTGTAGCGTCGTAGTCCGTTGCTATGGTGCTTCAGTAATAAGTTATGCGTCTTTATATGCTTTTTCAGTGTAATTTTACACTTAAAAAACTTGTAAGGCTTGATTTTTAAGGAATTGATTTGTTTGTTTTTTCAGTTTGACCATGGACTGGTTGATATCAGTTAGAGAACAATTGAAAACCACCAGATGGGGGGGAGTACTGGACAGAGGCTGTTTACTCCCTCCTAGTTTGGGACTCATCACTAGTACGTACCCACCGCTAAGGTTCGAACCCATGACCTTCCGGTTACAAGGCAAGCTAACTCGTATACCATTCAGCCATCACTGGGACCCCAAATCATCAATGGCCAGCCAACCCATGAATTCTAACTTCTACCAATTCGTGATGAGTTCAGCGCGATCGCCAACCACTGTTATCGGTGGGAAATCCATCCTCACAGTCGACTGGATGGATCTCACTGTTCAGGATTTCTCACTGAAACTCCAGGACACTCCGTCTTGTAGCAAGTCAGTAGAGAGCATCAGATTTATTTTCAGGAGTTGATTTATTTTTCGTGTCTGACCACGGATTGATTGATATCAGCTAGAGAAGCATTGAAAGCCATTGAAGAAGTCTTTCTTCTGATCAAATTTTCTGTGGCCTTAAATTCTTGAACCGTATTACAACATTTTCTGCACTTTGTATCATAAAATGTCGCCTGGTGCTGATGATATCTGAGCATTGTATAATCGATTAAACGAGGTAGTAAGTTCAAAAGTTAAACGTGTATCTTAAGATTTTCGTGATATTATTATGCTAATCTATTATGGATTATTTACTCAAAGGTGACAAAATATATCCCCCCCTCGGATAAAACAGATGGCGCCACTTCACAAAAAACGTCATATACCATATTATTCCGCCACCCCTACTGCAGATCCATTTAACATCACTCACTGAGAAGCATGGATTCTCACTGAGAGAGTGCGACAACGTTTTAAGTAGAAAATATAGAAATATAGGACGCAATAATGGTGATATTATGTTCAAGTATTACCGAGTAGTTTTTAACGGCTTGTAGGAAAAACAATGTCCTTATGAGTACTAGTCAGCAAGGTGTATCAGCAAGTTGAAGGGAAGTGATATTCCTTTTGAGTTTCAAATATATATGTGACACTTAGTGTTGCTGGCAGGTACGTCATCTGCCGGGGTATTCCAGCTACACCGAAGTTATCTAAAAACCGCACGACTGTTTCTCTTTCTCTCCTCACCCCCTTCGAATCAACCTTATTACCGATGTACCGGAGTAGACCCCATTCAAAGCATCAAATCAGCAGAGATAGTAGTTTGTTTATTACATGTATCACACAGTGATGAAACAGTATTATTTACTGATGACATGACTTCGAACACAATTTATCACCGTTCATAATCATATGAATTATAATCACACGACTTTGAAACTTGAGTTTTATAGTTTTCTTTGTTCTCTCCTATTTGTCGTCGTAGGGGTAGTAGAATTTTCTAGAAATCCGGGTAGACAGGTGTTGAATCACTCCTATTACACGTATTTGCAGTTGATTCGATAAACAAAGCTTCCATTGTTATCAACCTCTCCCTTCACCCTGCTGTTACATTAGATTTTAAAACTGTCATCTTATCCTATCCAGCCTATTGTATAGTTGTGTGTAATTGCACGTAGTGCTATAGCTAAAATATTCTCTAGATTTCTTATTTTATTTGGGTCAACCAATCTAGATTTAGCTAGGTTTTTATGTTCGGTTAGTCTGACTGTCTCTGTTCTACTAGTCTGATCTATGTATTTGAGCTGACAATCATTGCAGGCAGGGTATTAGATAAACTAAATTGTTTTGTTTTAAAGGTTCCACAGGATCCTTTAACCCGCAAAGCTTGTTTCTAATTGAGTTTGTGCTTGGTTTGAATGCCAACCACTTTTATTCCTGCTTTGTTGAGAATTCTGCGTAAGGTTTCCGAGGTTCCTTCTTTGTATGGAAGCAATACTGATGATTTAGATTCCTTGTTGTTGATGTTGTCATTATCCTGAACATGTTTGACATGCATTTCGTCGTTAATATTACTATTATTATTATCACTATCATTATTTATTTTATTTTTACACTTCCCTGCATGCTTTCTGACTAACTTATCAGGGTAATTATTAAGTTTCAAAGCTTGTCTTATATGCCTCACTTCCCGTCTTTGATTTTCCTTGGTACTACTTAGTTTTTGTGCTCTATTACTTAAACATTTCACCAATCCTATTTTCACCGGCATAGGGTGAAATGATCGGAAGTGCAAATATCTGTTTGAATGTGTGGATTTTCTGTAAACACTAGTGTTTAAGTTCCCATGTTCTTTCCTCTGTACGCTACAATCTACCATTGGAAGTTCCCCTTCCTAAATTTCCAATTCATAAGTGAATTGCCTCCACCTTTGGGTTAATGTGTTCAAAAAAATCTATCTATATCCTGTGTTTTAAATATAGTGAATGTTTGCGTTGGTAGCACAGTGGTTAGGACTCTCGCCGACCATGGACGTGGTTCGAGGTTCGATCCCCTACCGACGCACACCTGATATCTATGGTCGGCCTGCAAAATTTGGGCTACCGATATCCATGCTGAAAATTCCATACTTGTACCAAAAGTACTGTGTGGAATCAAGCTGTAATCAAAAATATAAAAAATAAATAAATAAAACATGCCTCTACCATACTTTTGGTGTGGGCTGAACAATTCAATCACTAACTTTTCCCATCTATCCATGAATATATCTGCCAGCTCCGACGGACAGAGTTACAAGCAGAATAGAAAGTCTACAAAAATTATGTCTAAAAGAAGAGATCCACAGAATTCTTAAAAAATTTTCACCATATCAGATATGAAATTGAGCAATTAAAGCAAAAGCTAATAGGAGAGAACAAAGTAATTTATAAAACTCAAGTTTGGAAATTGTGTGTTTATAATTGATGTGATACGATTATGAAACATTGTCATCCAGTAAATAATACTGTTTCACTGACTGTGTGATACATCTAATAAACAAACTAATATGGAATTACTTGCTGCCACAGTGCAGAAGCTTCACACATATACAATTTAGTAGTATTCAGTTTAGGCGTTTTAACACGATACCTTTCTTTAGTTAATGACGACAACAATAACAGGTCCAAATATTACTAAGTAAAATCAATACCAATCAATAAATATCTGCTTAAAACTTACTGAATACAGAAACATTTTGACAAAATTATCAGGAACCATATTCCTAAAATAATAATAATAATTGATATGAACAAATTAAATTTAACAAAGATTACAAAATGCTAAATTTCTATATCAAAAAAATAAATAAATAAAAAATATTTAAAAAAAAATACACAAACATCTACAATAACGGTAATAGAACATATTTCAATCTAACTCGTTCCTTGGAAATGACCATCATGGATGGTTTGTTTTTAAGGCATCTCACGAATTTTCAATTTGAACTCAACTATGATAGTAATAACCCAATGACTTACAAAAGACACTGTGTGCGGACATTGTATAAAAGAGTTCAAACACACTGTAGTGGCACAACTCCAGTGTTGAAGAGAATGGAGGAAAAGTAACTACGAACCATCTTCAAAATGAATGCATATCCCCCTTCACAATTTCATCAAAAAGTGTTCGAAATCGAGTCATAATACCAACAAGAAGTCAACATCAAACATCACAAGAACATCCCCCATTCTACCATATATAAAAAATATCTCTAAAATAACAGCTGGAATGTTAAGACCGATTGAAATAGATATAGCACACAAGCCAGCCAGCCAGCCAGTCAGCACAATTACTTCATACGATATTGTTCAAACCGAAAGATCCAATAGAAAAAAAAATTAATACCATTTACAAACTAAATTGCATGCATGAACTGCGATGAACATTACATCGGTCAAAGTGGGCCTGTCGTTCGAATCACAATCCAAGAACACAAATTAGCTGTAAAAAGACATGATGTATATACTCTTTCAGATCAATCCATGTAGATAATCATGGACATCAATTTAATCGGGATAAAGTCGAAATTTTAGACAGAGGTAACACCAAAACTGCAGTCAGAGAATTCCTAGAAGCCTGGTATTCAAGCGAATCAGAGATTAACAAACATTTTATTAAAAACCAAATCTATAAACTAATAAAAAGCAAATCATGTGACAATAAAGTTCAAATTCCAAGTCAATAAAAAAATGATCAATACAGATGTAAATCGACTACCAGTCACGAAGATGGTTGCCAGGATACACAATTTATCCTAAAACTTGCTCTGAAGATGCTGTCCAGAAGGACAACGAAAGGTCCACAACTACCCAACCAGCTCAGAGAACACAACTAATTGCAAGAAAGTGGATTTTTCGTGTACCAACACGCTGGAAGCCATGCTTATCATTTTTTGAATGAGTGATGATACCAGACAATTGTCCTTGGTGAAGTAGTCAAAGATGCGATGTATGATCTGCCTTCGCACTTACTAACTTTGATCACATATGATATAGAATCCGGATCACAAGACTTCCCTGTTTTCAATAAATCAGTTAGTTAGTGGAATAAATGTTCGTAGTTTTGCCATTAAAATTTAGTGTTAATCAACGGTCACATTTGTGGTGATACTACCTAACTGGTAAGACCTCGGTAGGGGTGGTGGTAGCTAGAATCCCTGACTCACATGTTGGATGTGGATTGTATAGATTTAATCAGTAGGAATTCACTTTTCACACTGATGGTCTATAATATCATTACTGCTACTGATGTCGTTGAGGACCAACAGTTCATCCGTGTAACAGTATCCAACTGTCTGTGATAAGGACGATCAAAAATATAAGTATCATATAAATTTTAGGGCAACAAGGCCAAAAGTTGATGTACCGATCACTGTCAACAGAAAAAATTCGAAAGAGGTTAATTCTTTCACTTATCTAGATAAGCAAAATCGGTTCAACTATAGGTAATCAGCACGGATGAGGATGTGGAAACTATAATCGGGAAGGTAAGACAGACAGGCATTTACCACTCTGATATCAGTCCGAAAATCTGCCGCACTCAGAATAAGGAAAGAAATTCTAATTTTTTCAACACCAATGTCACATGAGTCATTTCTGTATGCGCAAGAAACTTGCTCGACGTGTCGCTGAAACTATTTCTAACAGGCTACAACAGACTTTTAACAACGACTCAAACTAGGACAAAACAGTTGTCCAGTACTCCCAGGTGGTGGTTTTCCAATGGTTCTCTAACCAATGTCAGCTCATGATGAAATCCTGTAACCAATCAAATCCCTACAAACCAACACTTGAACTCACACGTTTGCTATTTCCATACTGAAAATTAGATAGTCGGCTGGTCAGAAAGAACTGGCGACAAGAAACTCCCGGAACGAATCAATCAGTAACCTATTGGTCAACAGATGTATTGAAGAAAATGAAGATGGACAGACAAAGACAAACCCCACCGAACAGACCATCGAATGACATCACACGACAGGTCATCACTAGAGTGGAATCCGAGATGGAAACGACGAGTCGGGAATTGATCTGAGGGTGACATGAAGGTGATTATGCAGCGAGGAGAAGATGAGAAACTAAGGGTAACCGTGAGGCCAGCTTAAGAGGACGTCTGACCTGGTCGACCTGCAATTTGGCTAGGAATGTAATTTATATATATATGTATATATATATATGATGTATTTTCCCTTAATAAGAAAGGTCTGTTACCATGTCTCTTACTTTCTGCTGTTAATAAAATACTACTATCCTTCGAAGAATGATAACTTGCTTTATGAAAAACTTCCAGACGTCTGTTGTAGGAGTGATTGAAAATAAGCAAATATTTTTTTGAAGTCTAAAGTAATTTTTCGGATGGTGACTAGCAGTGGAACTCACCATGGATACGCCGCATTTCGTTCTATTTGGGACTCGTCAGCCAACACATGTACCTACGTCCCCCAGTGAGTGATAGTGGCGTTCTCGCTTGTGAGACTCACTCGAACCCAGTAACTATTGTTTCAAAGGCCGAAGCGTCTATCCACTAGACCACTTGGGCCACGACAGACGCCGCCTTCCGTAAAATGGGCATCAACTATTGGATTTGTATTATGTACTTGTCGCCAAATTATTGTTATGTACTGGTCGAGAATTTAATAGTCCTGACTCAAGAAAGATGGAAATCAGAAGACCACTAAGTTTGCGATGATATTTCTGTTTTCCAAAACACCAGGAGAACCAATAATGTCACACAAGTATGTGAGAGCAAAATATATATGAATGTCCGAACAAGTGAGTGAACAAATCAATAGACAGTCTTAACATGATTGGCTAATTTTAATGGAGTATCGATCCATATATACATAGCGAAATATAATAGACTGTCAAACAAACACACATATTATATGGATATATATATCACCAAGAACAGACTGTCAACAAACACACATATTATATATACTATAAGGAGAATATACATTGTTAAAGGAGATAGGTTCATCAAAGTGAAATGGTCACAGACTAAGAGAGCAACAGAAAGAGAGACCACCATATATATATATATATATATATATATATATATATATGGATACATATCAATTTGGTTTTCAATTCACTTTTGGTTTTCCCGTTGATTGATCGGGACGAAATGTCCTAGTGCCGACGCTTTGACTGTGTCTGATAATTACCTCGACAATGTTTTGGAGTCTCAGTGGGGTCACCACCATCACTCACTGGGGAATTCGGGTACATTCACTAACTGATGACCCCTAAACAGGAAGGAACTCGCATTCTGGATTCTACTTCCAGTCATCATCTACCAAATTACTACAAGTTGGATCTTCAGATATCGTTAAAGTAAGTAAGTCCATACTGGGAGCTGAAATACCGATGAAGGTCGAGTATTTCGGTCCATTCAGTCGAAGGGAAAATTAAGGCTGAATTGAAAGTTTTCCTAGAAGACCTATTTTACATGAGGAGATATGAATTTACAATGTAATTAAAGCACTAATATAACAGCCAAACGACTGAAATGCTTTAAATCGAAATCAAACACATGACGTCTTCAAAAGCGAAGCGCCTTGAATGAACAAGTGAATAAGAAAAGTTAGACGAAATAAATATAACACAGTTAACTCCTTGAAGTAAAAGAAGAAACCTTTTTTTTCATGAAGACTAAATGAAGAGTGGAAAAAGTTCAAAGATCAAAAAAACAACAAAAAAGTATTCGAAATCAAGCATATTTACTTTAGAGAAATAATCCTCAGATTAATTTTTTTATGAATTTAAAAATCAATCAATAAATCAATGACTTACAAAATCTTAGACATAGCAAAATTTCTGAGTCTAGATTTAAAAACTGATTAAATATATAAAAGCTTATACTTTTCGTCAGCTGTCATGCTACCTTTTTGAATATTACGCTAAATACTATATAGAAACGAATTTGATACATTTTTAGGTTGCAGTGAAGAAAATTTTCTCTTGGACGAAGTCATCAACTAGATAGCTGTACATTCGTGTATTTACAAGAAATGGTTGGGAAATTTCTAGAATAATTTCCGGTCAAGGGTCAAATTAATAAAATTACAAATAGGAATTAAAATGCCATAATAAACAAGGAAGTTGGTGCCTGGACGGCGGATGTACTCAGCTCCACGCGAGCAAGTAAACTGGTATATGCACGTTGAAGTGGCCCAATGCGACAGCTTGTCTTTCACGTTCTGGCTGAACAGTTTCTTGCAGGAAAACGTCAGTCGTAGGCTTGCGGCGAAGTATGTTTTCCCTAGCGATTTTAAGAGGCGTTTACGAAGGATTTCTGCTTCAATATCACCTTTGAATTCTAGATTAAGCAGAAGTATTTTCTTTGGAACGGATTGGACTTGTTCGGAAGTCTTCTTAGGTTTTTTAGATTCTTGTCTATGAACCTGGGCGGAAAACCGTTTTCCATCAGGGTTCTTCGGATAATAGTCAGTTCTTCGTCGATCAATTCCTCGCTGCATATCTTCCGAATCCTCGAGGAAAGAGCGTTTATCAGGTTCCTATTTCTGCTTAGGGGCACGAAGCTTTGAAAGTTGATGAATTGTCCATTCCATGTAGGCTTTTTGTATATGGACCTTTTCAGAGAGTTGTCGGCGTTTCTTGTCAGATGGACATCGAGGTATTATTGTTCCTTTGGGTTCTGAGTGGAACATAAGGCTTCAACAGCACATCTCGATTTTGTCTTGTTCTTTACAGTCCTTTTTAGCTTGCCTCACGACTACTCTTAGTCTCTAATCTCCTCTTCCTCTTCCTTGAACAATCTCCTTCATGTCACTCTCATACCAACTCCCAATACGTCGTTTCCAACTCGGGTTCCACTCGAGTGATTACATGTTGTACGATGTCATTCGACGGTCTCTTCAGTGGCGTGTGTCTGTGTCTGTCCATCTCCATTTTCTTCAATACATCTGTTGACCAATAGGTTGTTGATTGATTCATTCCCGGGAGTTTCTCGTTACTAGTTCTTTCTGACCAGTTGGCCATCTAATCTTCAGTATGGATCCATCAAAAATGGCAGTTTTTGATAAAAGTCAGTTTTGACCTTTTAGAAATGATTTTGGTGACGTGTAGAGCAGGTTTTCACCGCATATAGGAGAACTGTTTCAGATTTTTATGTAATACAGACAATTTACTAAGAATATCTGAATTTAATGCGTGAAAACTAATCATTTACAGAAAAATTGCAAATGAACCTATGATGGAAATATTCTGGCAGTTCAAAGTTCAAATTTGCAATTACTAACAAATATATTTATTTGTCGTGCGTCGGTGGCATAGTGGTTAGGACGCTCGCCGACCATGCACATGGTCCGGGGATCGATTCCCGGCCGGCGCACTCTACCTCGCTAAGTCAGAAATAATCCTGGTAAAGAGGAAAGGTTGGGCATGAGGCTAGCAACCTCATCCTGTAAAATAAACACTGCTACAGAAACTTCAAGCCACTAGCTTGAAGCCCTATGTTCCACAGGGGAACGTGAAGGAAAAATTATTGTTATTATATTTATTTGTACATAAGACGACTGAGGGTGTGTCGTTATACATAGAACTCTATCTACAATTCGTACATAGCTTAAAACTATCAGGGTGTTGGAGTCAGCTCTGATTACACCGTAAGCACAATAAAGCTTGATTATGTAATCACATAGTTGAGACTTATTGACAAAATTCTGAGCTTACTTGCATCGAATTACAAAAGACAACTATATCCTCACGTAATGAACTGAGTTATGCTGAACAGAGATAATCTGAGAAGTCTAAAACTACAGTTTTTGAATGGAGATAAGCGAAATATTTTATAATTTTAATAAAGATTTTCTAATGCCAGGACCTTGATGTAAAAACGAACCAATTGTAAACTAGTTACTTCCTATGATAGCCAAAAGGTTACCACCGCAAGAAGTCAGTGTGCTCTTCCAAAGTCACCGTAATTTCGAAAACTGAGAGAGAAATGCGATCCTAAGAAATGCTTACACTCTCAAAGGATCAAATACTTATATTTGATCAGATTTATGCCAGGCGCATTATATTAATAGACAATGTAATGGACTGAAGTTAAGTGAAAAGTGCTGCAACGGTGAGGAAACCCTTTTTATTAAGGGTTTTCAGGTAATGTAAGTTCGAAGTTCGATGATTCCTGAACGTGTTTACACAGAAGCACCAAACTGAACTAACAGTTTACAACATTAATAACCTCAGTATATGGTCAAATGACTCGGAAGAGCCGGATATTATTGACATTATGAAATCATGGATAACACCTGAAATCGACTCCTTCGCAATATATCGTATTCTCGACAGCTCGACAGACGATTTTCCAATATACTGTGATTCTCAGCATTTTTCTTCAACTCTATACCTGTCTGTTACCCACACTGAGGGTGTAAACTTTATACACTCCTAGGAGGAAACGACAACCCTGTGGTGAACGTTCAACTCGAAATTGCTGCAGTATCCCTGAGCCAAACAACTAGCTCGACCAGACGTGTGGAAAGCCGATATAAATGCTGTCATTTCTGTAGCCTCATTAGTGGGCTGTACTGTAGATCCGGAAGCTCATGGGAAAGCTTCATTGAGTCGATTCATGCAACTATACACCCAGATGACAACCCTACGTTCCATGGACTGTTTCCTCCAATGGTCGAAAACACTGGACTACACTGACTTAGGCGTAAATACAAATTCTAGCACGCGTTTGTTTCCCTTGGGACTTCAGCAGATAGGACGCTGTACATTGCATCTACAGACAAATTTATTGGATGAATTCATCAATTGCGGATGAAATTCGGAATGCATCTACCTCAAAACTCAATTTAACATCCCAAGAAACTGTATTCCTGCATGAACCTCAGGAATAAGACGTCAAATAGTATCCTCAACTTGATTTCTGACACAGACACAATCGAATAGGTAAAGAGAAGTCTGGAACAATGGCAGACTAACTTTCGGAGTTTTCATATAGAATTCACCAGCAACTACAGCATTGGTTCCTGTCAGTCTTCAGAAAAACGTGGTGGGTTTTGCTGATGTCGATTGAAACATCGTATCCCAAATCCAAAGAAAACCAGATATAAGAAAATCAATGGGATCTGATGATATTCACTCAAGGCTTCTCGAGGAGCGATGGCTCACACTAATTACTGTCTTTGGGCTATCCATCTCACACGATGTGTCACTGGGTGATAGGAAGGACGCAGTAGTAACTCCAATCCATAAAGGAGGGTCTAGACAATGTCCTTCAAAAACTGCAGGCCTATTAGTCACACGAGCACCTTAGTCAAGATACTGAGAAGAATAACTGAGGAAGCTTTAAACTTCTAAAATTGGTTGATGCATGTGATAAGAAACGAAAAAAGATCACAAGCAAGTAATGATAGGCAAAGATGGCAAAAATTAATCTTGTTTGTTTATCGAATTCATAAACGTATTGCTAGTGGGACAGGAGTTAACTGCACCAACCGGTGTTCACAGCTGTAACGACAGAAGTTCCTGACTCAACATCTGACTTTCCATTATGCATATTTTAAAGTTCAACTATTAAGTTACGAACAGTCACAACAGACTTAGCATGGTCATAACATGAGAAACAGAGTTATACAAAAAGCAAAATCATATGAGATAAACAAACCTGAAAAAATCCATGAATACATCAGATATCTCAACTTTATTACGATCTTCGGAACTGGTTTGAGATGATATGGAGTTGGACATAAATCTGCCTCCTAAAAACTTCGTCAATAAATATAAATTTATAAACCTGGATTGATAAGTGACGTAATGCCCAAGCCAAGAAAAGACGCAACAATATTCAAGCCAACACAGTAACTCAAGGCGAGTATAGCCATTTTACCTTGGACAGAGGGTTTTAATTTAGATGACACTAAAATGAACCGTGTTATGAATCTTTCAAACAATAAGAAATACTGGTGATTATATTGCCCGTAAGGAGAGGTATCACCGCAAAATTCAGCGACCTGATGAACAGTTCACCAGGTAGGCCTATAATTCAAGGAGATGAAATTTCAACTTACCTATCCACAAGAGAACAGACTCAGGAACAGGGAAAACCTTTAAAATTGCACCCAATGCAATACCCAGCAGAATTCCCATGAACATGCATATAATAGTAATATTTTTCCGTATAAATTTTTTCAGTGACCGAAACTTTCTACTCATGTAGGAATGAAAATTGCAGATGGATGAATGACTAAAATCCATGATTTCTGCCCAAAACTTTGAAAAGTCCGATACATTTTAGGTCGACTGCGCGTCTAACGTCAGTGAATCCAAACAAACTGTGTCACTTAAATTTAAACCTAATATTTTTTTATTTTACGGTAACCCTTTTTTATTTACATCAATAATATTACCTTACAGACTAATAGTAGTACTGCTATCAGTCATTTACACAATATCCAGTATCCTGATTACGAGCTAGTATAAACCAGTGATTTCTTTGAGCTCGCTTCTTGATTGTGAGGTGGAGGTTCCAGATCTTCAGTGAGCTTCTTCATAGTAAGTCCCGCCACTCGACTGCTTTAGCTCTGGTAGACTCCAAGAGGAGTGGTGCGGGGATTGGTCAAGATGTGGTTTATAGTATGCAGTATGTTAGGACTGTATTGCTGCCGTGAATGGAGTTTGACCTAACTCCCGTTGGTCATTCGGTGTAGTCATAAAAGCAGAATAGTAATAATAATAATAGGTTGTAGTGTAGATAATATGGGTTGAGATATGGGTTAAGTGCAATAATAAAGGTGACCTAAGGAAAAGATAGAGTGAGAGAAGGCAGAATTGGTCGTGGGGATTTAGTTTATATGCTTATCCATTGACAGTGGGGTTTTAAGTTTTATGAGGATAAGCCATTGAGACACAAACCTTGCATTTCTGTATGATTGTCTAGCTTCCGCTTAAAAATCTCCACAGATGGCGCTGTAGTCACGGCCGCCGGTAAAGCGTTCCAGAGACGGCAAACTCGAAGCGAAAAGAAATGTGATCGCACTCGAGTCTTTGGTCTCTGGTGTGCTATCCTTAGCGGGTTACCCTGTGGAAGCCTATAATCACTTAATGGCAGGACGCTTTTATTTGGGTGGGCCTGGTCATTTAAGATCTGGTAGGCGGTGATGAGGTCTCCCCTGTGTGCCTACGGTAACTAAGTGTGAAAAGACCTAATTTCTTTAGCCGTTCCTCATATGATTTGTTGCGGAGGCCGATCACCCATTTTGTCGCTCGTCTCTGGACACTTTCTAGAATGTTAGCATCCCTTTTGAGTAGCGGAGGTGCAATGATATTATGCACCTCAAGGTGTGGCCTCACATATGCCTTATATAACCTTAAGAACAGTTCGGGAGTGAGAGCTCCCAGCTGCCTGTGTATAAAGTGTAAAGTTGCGTATGCTTTGGCGACGTCCCTCGCGTAATTTCCACTGGTGTCTAGCTTTTCTGTTAGAATAGGACCTAGATCGCGCTGTGATGGAACACAACTCAAGTTCTGGCCACCAAGGGTGTAATTTACACTCTGTGACCTGCCGGAATGAAGTTGCACTACTTTGCACTTCTTTAGGTTGAAAGGCATTCCGTTAGCCAGAGCCCAGTTTCCCAAAGTTTGCAGGTCAGCCTGCAATCTGTCTGAGTCTTCCGATGAGTTTACTGCTCTCCAAATCTTTACGTCGTCAGCGTAAAGAAGCGCAGAGCAGTTTAGTTGGGAGGGCAGGTCGTTGATAAAAATCAAAAACATCAATGGCCCTAGGACAGAACCCTGAGGAGCCCCTGATGCCGAGGTGTGCTACGATGATCGGATGCGGTTGACTTTGGTGCAGAATTTCCTCTACCCGACACGATTCTACCTATAGCTCTAGAATTAAGGGAGGTGGACATCACTGATTTCTTCCATACTGTCACCTTCAAATAGTTGTAAAGCTACTTGATCAACCACTTCGATGAGTGACAGGGGCCGTAGTATAGGTAAAGTCGTTTCTTGGTTTTCACTGTAGCCAGCATCCAAATCGATTTTGCTAGTTAGTGTGAACCAATTTGATTTCTTCGTACTCGCTTCTTGGCTGTGAGATAAAGGTTCATGGTTTCCGGTAAACATCTTTGTAGTTCGTCCCTCCACTCGGCTGTTGCAGCTGTGGTCGACTCCAAAAGGACTGGTGCTGCGATCAATTATATGTATTCTGTAGTATGTAGTGAGTTAAAGCCGTGTTGCTACTGTTAATGGGTTTGATCCTTTCACCTCTTAACATCCAATGTTGCCGAAAAGAAGATAATGACTGTGGATATAATTAGTATAGGTTATGTAAACCAAAAAAGAAAAAGAGAAAACCCGAAAACAGAATGTTAATGAAATTTGAAGTATATATATACATATATATATGCACATGTGGAGTTTTGAGAAACATGATTGTGCAGTTTTTTGTTAGATGTTGAAATTAGAAATAGTGTGCACAAATTTTGTTTAAAGCGATTCGTGTTGAAGTATGCATAACTGCGGAGTACAAACTAAAATACAGCGTGCGGCTCAGCTCTTCGTCTTCTCACTGGTCCATAATGCCTACTTGTTTCACTTTTAACTGTATTGTGTACTTTATGTTTTGCAGGAACCTACCATCCTCATCCAAAGACTATTTTACAACCGGTACACAGCTTCTGCCACTAGACACAAATTCAGCAGTGAACATTTCTGTGCATTATATTAATAATTTGTAGCAGCAGAATTTAATACTATCACCATATGAACATTGATTTTTCCACCACTTTAACTTTTAATCGTTCGTCCTATTAACTGATTGGTGAACACTATGCTCCCGAGGGAAGGGCTAGTAAGAGGTGCGGTTTCACCAGGGATACGCGTTTCTAAACCACTCACTGAAAATTTCACAAATGGTGGCAGGCTCATTGTAGATTACCTTTTGTGAGCTAGCAGTTGATATTGTATTACAGGGCGGTAATGCAGTTATAACCGAGTTTGAGCCGCTATCCAAAACAATTGTTTCTACGAACATGTTTTTTTGAAAATTTGGCCCATAATTTTAAAGATTAGGTATCAATAAGCTATAAATAAATATCAGAGAAGACACGTGCAAACAGGTCACCAATTTCTAACTAAGCGTGCCCAGCCCCCTGCCTGACATTGTCGGATGATGGACATTTACGTTAGCTTGGCATGAATGGTACATGATGACTCCCTGGTTGGGGTCAAACAGATAGCTCGACTTGGTTGCTGGAAACATTATGGAATATGACCAAGAATCAAAATCAATGGTGAACATGCAGTTTCCTCCTCTCTCCTTTCTGACAGTAGTACGACGAATATTAGGGAAACTTCATGCAGTTCTTTCCATCAATTAATTTGAGTAAAGAGAGAAATACGAATATGTCTGGATAATCTGCACTATTTTCTTTATTACGTGGAGTGAATTCGCACAGTTTAATGCTTGTGGGCTCTTTAGTCTCAGGTTATTCGGTGTGTCAATGTAGTTGAAGATTGAGCGATCAATTCATGGTTGTTTGCTCAAAACCAACTTCCCCAATTTTCGCGGGCAGCCTGTAGACGGCCGTAGGTCATTTGATCAGCTGATGAATATTGGCGTTGTTTTTGGAAATGACGTCAAGGTTAGGTCATTTTTCGTTGTTTTACACACTTTTTTACACGTATTCCAGTTAAAAGTTGATGAAATGCGGCGTATTTAGCAGAAATAGGCAATGGTGGTGTCCTTATCCGGCCGTAGCTTACAGGCAGTTTGCAGTTTTTTGGAAAAACGTACTTTTCCGTTCAAAATACGTCGAATTACTTGAAGAAACATGTTATAATGATTTTTTCGTGAATTTTCTTTGCATTTTAATGGATTACACATGGACATGACGAGGTGGGATAGCTCGTTTCGGTAATTACATCATTTACTTCCTTGTTTAATTTTCGTAATGCTGACAAGGCTACTCCATATGTATTTCTTTAGGAAAAATCTGCAGAAATACTTAGAAATTATATACGCAAAGTAATTCCTTTTTTTATGGCGTAAACTTGATGTTTGCAGGCAGATGCAATATGGATTTTATATTATTGAAAACTGTTGACTTACATAATTATATACAATTCAAGTAATTATTTCGTCATTTTAAACATATTTAATGGTTAGTTATTGTGTTGTGTGTGATAACAATGTCTATATCTGTATATATCTTATGTCCTTTTTCAGATAATATCTACTTTTGGGAATTTCATGGATTTCGTTGATAAAGAAAAAGATACCTGCACTGTTGTCGATTTTGTATTACATGTTAATTCATTAATAAATGTATTCCTCGTTAATCGTTTGTTTATTCTACTTGATAAGACCGAATATTAGCCCTTGCGTAATTTGTGAGGTATAGAGTATATGAGGCTATCTTTGAAATACTAAGTAGGAGCAGATATTTGGAAAAGCCTATTGGTAAAAGATTATGTTGTGGTCAAATAAAGTAAATATGCCTAAACCGTAGAGAAGGTGTTGCGATTATAAAGCGTTTCGAGTTATATATCGTCATAGCAGAATACGTAAACTGATTCCCGATTCATAGTCACCAATTGAGAATAAATCTACCTGAGATAGTTTGCTTGTGATTTCTGCATGTCGCAATGTACCATAAGGAGAGACTATACCTATGCTGTTAGATGTATAACTCAGTGCAACTACGGTTATCGTAATAATTAAAAACAGAATGCCTAGGGCTCTCACCCACGGAACACGATGCGTTGCTATCTGCTCATATAACCACGTAAACAAAAGTTTTCCAGACACCGCATTTACTCCTAACAGTTTACCCTCAACTCCTAACTTAGCACGAGTTACTTATGTTACTGGAACACAATCGCATTACAACAGAAGGAAGACAGATTCATTGAAAAATTGTTTATTAAACAAAAATCAGATTTCAAATGTACAGATAATTCAGATGAGTAGTCCTTTGTTACCGTCAGTAAGTTCCATCTGAGAACACGGCACATATATGTTTTTCCATAAGTCTGAAAAGGTTTAAGAAAAGCATAATTAACTTGGGTATTACATGCATGATCTGAATAAAAAATTTTTCCTGATAAGCATTTACAAGTAATCACTTTACAAACAATATATATATATATGTACATATAAGTGGCCCAATAGTTTTCACTAAACTTAAGGGACTTTGCAACCTATCGCTGGTCGATATCCAGTAGGTCCATTGAAGCATCATGAAATGATAAAATTATCTAACAACAAGTTATGCAGTAGTTTCCAAAGCTTGTACAAATATTTTA